CACACACACACACACAGCCATCCCCTCCCTCCCCGGTTCTGCCCGTTAGTGAGCAGAGCAGCTTTTTCGCAGCGTGGTCACAGCAGCCTATACAGAAAACACAGCAGAGGAGAAACACCTGGCACACATGCACACACTCACTTTGTGAGTATTTTCGCGCACACACTCCCTTTGCGTTGCTGACACTGAAACACACTTTCCCAGACACACACACACACACGCACGCATTCACCTACTTGGTTAGCCACATGCACTCTTGTATACGTACACCCTCTCTCCGGCTTCCACGTATACTCTCTCGCTCTACGTTCTCTTTGGTGCACTCATTACGACTGCTCAAGGATTGCGCTGGATATACAGTGTGTGTGTTTTGCTGCGGCATTGTGTGTGTGTCAGGTTGGGAATAATGTTGTGATCTAGTTGCTCTTGCGCTGCTCCAGAAGAAAGCCTTCAGAAGCAAGACTGAACGACACACAGCTGACTGACTTCAAAAACTGATATACTGCATCCATTTTTTTTTTTTTTCTTTCAACCCACTCCTGCAACATCATTTTCTCCTCACAGTTCTCCTCTCATCCTGTCCTGCCTCGCTTCATGTCGCATCTTTTTTTTTTGTTCTGGACTTTTTGCTCCACCTTTCCCTTCAGGTGTCTGTCACTTTATGTTTCTCTCTGACATCAGACACCTGCTTTGACCTGGTTAACTCCTGCAGGCTCAGAGCATTGTAGTAAAGCTTTGGAGGATGTGAGGCTCAGCTTCTCCCTGGGGTTTCTCCGCTTTCTCTCTTTCTCCCACTCTTCTTCTTTCCCTTTATCATTTTCCCTTCAATTATTTCTTTATTTTTGGTTGGTTTTCCGTCCTTATTCTCATCCTTTAGTCTCTCCCTGTGTTGTCTTTCTTCTTCTGTCTTTATCCTCCGTTCCCTTTCTTGCTCTGCTTTTTCCCTCCTGCGTCGGTCACTCTCATCCACCTCTCCCTCACTTTGCTCCATTTTTCTACGTCTCTCTTTGCCCTACATTTTCGTCTCTTTTCTCACTGATGCCAGTTTCTCTTTTCTCCTCACTCTCATCTTTCTTGCCATCTCCTTTGGACAACATTGTGGATTTAAAGAACAAAACTACCACCTTTCTTGTAAAATGGCACTTTGATGTAATTATATGGAGTCCTACTCTCCCAGCAAGGGATGTCGGTGTTATTTTGTAACCTGGATCTTTGACACACAGTGCTAAACCCTGAGACTTAAGATTTATGGCTGCAGGGAAGCCGCCGTCTTTGAATTTCACATCAAGGATTGATTAATTGGATCAGCAGCCCCGTGCCGAAGACCTGAATTTGATATTTTGTGAGGATTTATTGGACCGCAGGATGGCCTAATGGGTAGAGAAATCATCATCCAACCACAGAAGCCAGGGTTGAATGTCTGTTTTGGGAAGCCTCCACCCTGCTGAAGTGTCCTCGAGCTACTTACTGAATCCTCTCCACCCACAAGTGCTCCATCTCCCTGAAGTGAAGGAGCGAAAAATGAACTTCCTTACAGGGATCATTGCATATCACATTGCACAATGGTGAAGATCTTTTGCTGGGTTAAAGGTCATCAGTGTGTCAGGTCATTGGGCGGATTGTAACTAAGACCTGGACTCCAAGCAACTTCCTCAAACCCTGAAGTAAAATGATGTTTCAGCAGGCTTAAGGAGAGTGACTTGCTGTCTTGTGATCTGAAGCTTGGATTACTGAACCAGTCAATTACTGAACCAGATACTGTACTACCAGTTTTCATTGTCTTTCAGTTGTTGCAGAAGAAGGTCTTACATCCAGATTAACTTTGACTTAGACAGATTCTGCATGCTGTGCCACTGTGGATGTGAGAAGCTGAGTCAGACCTTTATCTCGGTGTTATTTAAAGGTGAAAACATTTGGAGCATCTCTATCAGCTGGACTTGGACCCTGTTGATAGATGTTGAGTGCAGTGGCTGCTGGAGCATAGACAGTCACGGACTGATATTCTCTACCTCCTGTGGGGACACTTGCTGTGTCATCCGATTTTACAGTACAAAGGATATTTGACATCCCCTGTTTCCTCTTACTGGGCCTTTCTTTGCTTTACTGGAGTTACTTACAACCCTGGGACACCAGCTTTGATAGATTTTTTTTTTTATTACATTTCCTGTGGCTAAAAGTTGAACAGTGGATACTATCACCCCTGTAACCAATGACAGCACAGCAGATCTCAATTTCTAACTGTTTTGGGGAGATTTTAGGATATCTCTACTTGCTTTTCCTTGGTTTATTTAAATTTATGTACCAGGAATTTTTCACTGTTATTTAAAGCCAGGTTAGGAGCAGGTCCTAGTCCTAGGCTCTATGCTTTTGTCAGGGCCCAGCAGTTTTGTCTGGGCCCTGTGGCCAGACCTTAAACAGCTCCCCCATCAAAACAAATGGAGAACAGCGGCTGCATCCCTCTCTGCTGGAGCAAGGGGGCCTGCATCTACGCACAGCACCCCCTACCAAGTATGTACTAATAAGTGTATCAATAGAAATACATCGTATACAAACTGAATGCAAGTGTGCATACTTAAAAAATACAGCATGTAGTTGAATATGTTCTTGTTTACTCTTTGTACTTAATTAACATACAAC